CCCCAAAGTGCTATGGATGTGGCGAGATCGGTCACATCAAATCAAGATGTTCAAAAGCCAAGAACGCCAAGCACAAACGTGGGCTCAAGAAGCAACGAGCATACATCTCTTGGGGAGGAGACTCCGGCGATGAGTCAAGCGAGCAAGAGGAAGACGAAGAAGCAAACCTTTGTCTCATGGATCAAGAAGAAGAGGAGTCATCCAACGACAAAAACCAAGAGGTATGTATTTCTTCTACTGATTCTTACTCTTTTGAAGAAATGCAAGAAGCTCTTCAAGAGCTTTATGACGAGTTTGTTAGCGCTTCTAAAACCAACAAAGTTTTAAAGAAACGTTTTTCTAATCTTGAAACTGAGCTTGAACAACTTCAAAAGGAAAACAAAAAATTAAAAGAGGAAAATAAATTTTATGGTAAAAGAAGCGCTGACAAACCTGAGAGCTCTACGAATAATTGTGATTGTTGCATAGCTTTGAAAGAACAAATTCCTAAACTAGAAAACATGGCAAATAAATTTAATTAACCACATAAGGACCTTAATCGTTTTTTATTCTATTCAATACACTAAAAAAGGAATAGGTTTTGGTAAAATTGATGAATCTGAAAATAAAGAAAAAGTTGAGCACAAACGTAAACCACCTAGAGCTCAACCTAAGAAAGATAAAAATAAAAATAATAGAGAACCTAGAAATGATAGAAAACCTCTAGAGTCTAGGAACAGTAGAGAACATAGACAACCTAGACAAAAGGTTAGTTATGAACATGACCATTCTAGGCAACCTAGGTGGAATTATCAAAATGATTTTATGCATAATTTTTTATTCAAATAGACAAAATAATGTTAGGACACCTAAAAGAGAGATTTTTCAATATACTCAAAAATCAGCTCTTTCTCAAAATAGGATGAACATGGTTAGGCCCCCTAGTAGTTATTATATATCAACCTAGGGGAATGCACAACCCTAACGTAGTTTGCAATTATTGCAATAGGGTAAGAAATATAGCTCTCGTTTGCTTTACTAGACATAGGCATTGGACTCAAAACGAAACACACTACCACTTTGCACCTAACACTCAAGGACCCAAAAAGACTTGGGTACCTAAGTCTTATTAAACCATTTTTGTAGGTGTGCTTGAAAGCATCAAGTGTACATTGGTACCTTGATAGTGGATGCTCAAAGCACATGACGGGTGATGCATCGAAGTTTTGACAAATAAAGCCTGCTAAAGGAGGCAACATCGTCTTCGGTGACTGATGTCCCCTGGTCAACCACCAACGGTTCTCAAGTCGTTAAACAAATCAACGGAATAATGGCTAAATGTTATGATCCCTTTTGGAATGAATTCATCACCACTAAACCATACACCCTAGCCATAATATCCTTGAACCCTACCCCACCCTAGGTCCGAACCAACCCTAACCCAAACTCCAAACATCCAAATCAGCCCTAAACCCCTTAATCTCGTTTTCCTCCTCCCTTTTCTCCCCTTGGTCGAAATTCACAACCCCAACACACCCCACCATTATTTTCTTCATTGAACTCAATCCTTAAGGCCAAGAAAACCTGCCCCCACACTAAACCAATTCAGCCCCCTCATTCCCTCCATTAAAGGACCAAAACTACATGCCAAAACCTCCCTTCCAACCCATGCCATATGCCCCCTCTTGTTCCCCAACTAGGCTGACCAAACACCCATTAAAATCCAGAACATATTGGCCCACCACCACACCAATCAACCTCTTCTATGTTTTCCCATATACCACCTAAGAAATACTTCCAAAACAGCCTGCAAGTTCCCCTCATTTAGCCCTCCCTTTGGCCGAAATATCCCCACAAAAACCAATCAAATAAGTGGGTTTTATTCACTTATTCCTTCCTTCCACTAATGGCCGAAATTCCAACCCTACATGTACAACCCCTACTGCATTTTCTCCCCACCAAAAGGGCATCAATAAGTGGTCATTATTTTCCTTTGATTTGTGTGAATAAGAGACTTGTTAGTCTCCTTGTGTGTATGTATAAATTTCGGCCATAGGCAATTGATTTCTCAAGTTGTAATCTTGAATTTTCTTAGTAATACACTTGTGTGTTTTGCTACCCAAATTCCTAAATCTATATCTTAAGAGTGGTTCACTTGAGTGTGAGTTTTAGGTTCTAGTCATTTGAATAAGTGTGTAATATCTTATTTGAATGCTAGGCACAACCCCAAGTGAGGATAAGAGTGTGTAATATCTCTTAAACACCAACTTGGTTTATCTATTTTAGGAAAATATTATAAGTCTTCATCTCCTCTTCTTTCCCATTTTTGGCCTCCCCACATATTCTCCCCCATTAAATATCACCTTTCTCCATTCCTCACTCAAACAATAGCCTAAAATATATCTTCCTTGCTGCCATTTTCATCCCTAGCCTTCCCCGTCCTTAAAACTTCCATTCCTTGCCCAAAACTTCACCAACAAAGCCTTATAACCTCCACCCCTTACCTCCCTTCCATTCGTCCCTCTCTTTTCTTAAGTTGGTGCCTAACATTTGGTATCAAAGTTTGTTGTTGGACATCCTCTTAAGACCACACAACACACTTTCAATTTCCTTCTCCTTTTTCCCAAAAGCTACTGCCCTATCCTAGTCCCTTTTCCATCAATTCCCTTCATCATGTCAAACACTTCCAACAACCTCTCCCATGAAGAACTCTTAGCCTCCAATGCTGCTCTCAAAGCCCAAGTTGAATACTTGGTTAAACAAGTTGCTCAACTCACAAAACTCAAGATGAGCATGGTAAACACCCCGGAGGAAAGTGATGAAGAAGAAGAAGTTCATATAGACGCTGACTCTAGTAACACTACTAGAGGAGAAAACCATGAAAGAGGAGCTACTGATTTCAAGGTTGACATACCAACCTTTGAAGGAAAGAATGATCCGGATGACTTTTCATATCCTTCATCATATGGCTAAAAATACCCTCCTAAATATCCATAAACCCAACCCTATTTACCAAGGATAAGGATAAAAACATCAAGGGACCAAACCATTGATTAAATAGTGCAAACTTTGTCATATTGTCCTTAATTGTCAAAGTTACCACTTTCCTTGATTCCCTTCTCACATGGCCAAAATTAATAACCCATGTTAAGCCAAAATCACAACCATTTAATCCCTTTCTCCTGATCAATGAGTGCTGCTCACTAAGAATAATAACACATGGATATTAATCACATGATTTGTAGGAAAGTGTAGTGAAGTTTCCTTTATTTTTGCGTTATATATTTCAGCCAAGAGGCCTTGTATTCCCATCTCATTTTCATCATTAATATTACTCTTAAAGTATTCCCTGAATTGGTGTGAAGGTAGTTCAATCTATTTCCTAATGAAATATCTCTAAAGTTGGCTACTTTTGAGTGTGTGTTAAGAGTGTATTTAATACTTTAATTGTGATTATTATTGTATGAAATAGATAACAACCCCAAATATATTAAGAGTGTGTTTATCTCTTACTTATTATTTGGTTTATCCTTATACAATAAAACCACAAAATATTTTCCTCTTTCTTTCCCAATCTTGATCCTGAAAACCTGAATAATCGATTATACACAACTGATAATCGACTATTCTATCCCTCTGATTCCTCGTCACAAAACTAGCAACCTTCAACAATCGATTATCTCCAAAGTAATAATCGATTATCTGTATCCTCTGAAAATACCCAGTTTTGTGCAAGCCCTTGTTAATCGATTGTTCTTAAGTGTTAATCGACTATTTGGCATCTCTGAATTTTTTTGGTTTGGAAACCAAATCCTGTTAATCGATTATCTAAAGGTTCTAATCAATTATTATACATCTCTGAACCTCGAAGTCCCAAAGTTGTTCAATTCCTGTTTGCCTATCCTAAATTTGGGTATAACATTCGGTATCAGAGCTTGGGGATTCTCCCGTATCTTGGAAGACAAAAAAGCAAACCACTATGGCACGATCCTCCGCTGAAGTGGAGTACCATGTGCTCGTCGCTCCTACGTGTGAATTGAAATGGTTGAAGGGATTTCTTCGTTCTCTTGGCATATCTCATACTGATCCTGTGACATTTTTATGACAGTACCGCTGCCCTACATATTACGTCCAATTTAGTTTCCCATTAACACACAAAATTTAGATGGAGTATATGTTAATTTTTTATTTTTTTTATTTTTATTTCAAACACAAAGAATTTTGAATTTTTTAAAGTTATTTAAAAATTGAAAAGAAATTTGAAAAAAATAGGAAAAGGAAACAAATAGAAAAAAAGAGATAAAAAAGAAAAAGCCAAATAATAAACGAAAAATAATATATGAGCACTAGTGCCTCTTATGATTTAGAAAATATGAAACAATGCCTCCTTTTTCGTTGGAAAATGATCGGGAAATGATCAGAGATGGTGTGAGTGCAACGTTTTGAAACTATGAGGAGTTTAGAAATAAGTTTTAAAAAACATAGGAGGTATTAGTGTCGATTTTTCAAACCACGAGAAACACTAGAATTATTTGCCCATAAATTACTCATACCCAAACTAGTTTGGCCTATACCCAAACTCGAAATCAAACATTTGTATATTAAAAATTTTAAACATGTGAGGGTTACACTAAGAAATATATCACAAGTTGTATCTCAAATAGATCACTAACATTTTAAAAGTTCATGCTCGCACAAAATATTAGTTCAAACAAAAAAATTTATACTGATATTCTGTGTGATTATAAACTATAACATAAACATTACACTAAAACAAGATGTGAGTGCTTACCTTTGGATAGGAAGTTGGGTATACTATTTTTGTACAAATAACTTATTTCAAAAAAATTAGGAAGTTCATTCTTTTGCTTTAGCTTTCTCTTATCCTCGTTTGAATCCTTCCATCAATGGCTCTGCTTCGTCCGCAGATCCCAACGTCCCCTGCAACCGGAGTCTACTCGAACTATCCCTACAGCATCTGGACCTTTAAACACAATATAGTGAAGGGTAGTGGTGGGCGAGGTGCAGGAAGATGCTGCAACGCCATTTCGATTGATGCACCCGCGGCCGTTTCCGGCATCAGATGGGGGTCGGCGCTGCTACAGGGCGCCCGTGGGGAGATGGAGGACGATGCCATGATTGTTCAGTCAGATGATCTTGGCGGGTTCTCTTACGCCGCGGTTTTTGATGGCCATGCTGGGTTTTCTTCTGTCAGATTCCTCAGGTGTGTGAAGATGGAGAAATTATGTTTGATCAAGATTTACATATCTATAAGTTCTGTTGGTTCCCAATCTCTTTAAGCTTGTCACCCTCTTCTTAATCTGAATTTGTTTGTGGCTTGGTAGAAGCCTTGAAAGATTATCTCCCAGACTCCCAGAGTCAGGAGACAAGACACAATGAGGTAGTGGAAATGAGACTGCTGCGCCTTCTTCTGTGAACTGGAGAAACTGATCGTGTGAGGCATGACACAAAAACCTATAGCACATTGTTCTCAATAAAATCGAACACCTATCCCACAAGTTCCTTGGCCTGAGTTTCTCTGCTGCTTTCTGTTCTTCAGCACTCACCATCCACTTCAGTACAGAATTGCTAACCATTTGTGACACTTTCCGAAGTAACATCATCCCCGATGGAACCCCTCTAGGCCACTACCTTCAACTTCAATGACGTCTTAGAGAATTTAGGAGAGAGTCAGATTGAGACAGAAAGATATCACACTAAGAAATTCAGACTCCAAGTAGTTTTTTGTCTTTGTTTCAAATTGTTTGCTCTAGATAGGTCATTCTTTCCAATGCACCTAAAGTATGTACTCCAACTCAGTTTTGGCCTGCCTATATATATTGCTACTTTCCACTTCTATAACATATTTTCACTTTATCACATGAAAATAATATATGTAAAATTTTCACAAGTTTGTCATTTAGAAATGTTTATGTGAAAATGCATGACTTGGTTTTAACAATCAAAGGGATGAGCTGTATAAAGAATGTGTTAGAGAATTACAAGGCGGACTTCTGTTGAATGGAAAGGACCTAAATGCAGTAAGAAAAGCTCTACAAGAGGCTTTTGAAAGTGCTGATGAAAAACTTATGAATTGGTAAATTCCCAATGTGTGATCTCCATGAAAGTTTTGATTTTGCGTTAGCAAGGTTCACGATACCATGGTCTAGCTATGATTTTATACTCAATATGATTGCATTGACGGTTTAGATGCTGTTTCATTTTGTTAAGGCTTGAGAGAAGCGGGGAAGAAATTGAATCTGGATCAACAGCTACAGTTATATTTGTTAGCAATGATGCACTATTCATTTCACACATTGGTGATTCGTGTGTAGTATGTGACCATTATTGAGTCATTTCATTACCAAATGATTTATTGTTAATGCTTTCTACACAAAAGGTCAAGTACATTCATATATATTCAGGTTTTCTCACGGTCTGGGAAAGCAGAAATGTTGACCAGTTCTCACCGGCCGTATGGAAGCAACAAAACTTCTCTTGAAGAAATTAGACGAATTAGGAAAGCTGGCGGATGGGTAAGTTTCTACTTACTCCATCTCGCAGTTTACCAAATTGTCTAAATCCTTGTCTTGGGTCAAAATATGTTTTCGCATAAATTCCAATTCAAGTTGTGTGTAAAATATGCAGATTGTAAATGGACGAATCTGCGGGGACATCTCTGTATCCCGTGCTTTCGGGGATATGCGATTCAAGAACAAGCAGAAAGAGTATGCTTTTTTATTGTCCTCAAAAAAATCCAGAGCTGAAATTCGTTGTTATTTCATGAATCCAAATATGGTGATTTCCTCCGGAGTAGTATAAAATCTCATATCTGTCTTATTGCATGCCGACTAAAAGGATGCTGGAGAAGGGTGTTGTGGAAGGCAGGTGGTCTCAGAAGTTTGCTTCTCGGTAGGTTTTATCTCAGGTCCGATCCATCTCTCTCGTAGTAGTGAAAGGTGAAAGGCGAGAGGCAGGCGAGAGGGCCTTTTTTTAAGGCGAGAGGCGGGCAGCCAAAAGGCGAACTTGGGGCATACACACTTACATAAAATATATAGTGCAGTGCAATTAATAATTTCAATCCCAAGCAAGTCATACATGTTAAACAAAACAATTAGAGTAGTTACTACATAAGTTTCTAAAAAGCGAGTATTTAATATATAGAAATGTATTAGGTAGTGTTTGACAACTAACATTTCATTTCAATTCATTCATTTCAATTCCAAAATTTGAAATCTTGAATTTCAAATGACGAGAAGGTGCATGGATTTCTAAATAAGCTTTGTTATGAATGAGAAGAATTTGATCCAAATTCAAATTCAAATTTCTTAAGTTTGCCAAACATGGAATTTGAACCAAATCCGGATTTGAAATCCAAATCCATGTTCCCAAACATACCATTAAAAAATTCCAGCTCATTTTTAAAAGGCCCATAGCCAGTAAGGTGAGAAAGGCGAACAGCTCTGGCAAGAAAGGCAAGAAAAATGAGTGAATCAGGCGAGAAAGGCGGACAGTGCCTCGCCTGAACATATACAGGCGGTATAAGGTCGCCCGGATGCCTGAGGCACCTTAGGGGAGGGAGGCGCTCACCTTTCAAAACTATGATCTATCTATACTACATTAATGTCTAATTAAACAAAGTATGCTTTGTCGGATGCAGAAGTGGAAGTGTCAGTGGGTTTTTTATTGTTAGTAAAAATATATTTTTAATTGCAATAGATATTATGTCAAATATAACATTCTTTAACTCTATATCGCGTTCTCGATTACCATTTTTCCTATCCTCCTTCCCCCTTCCCTTCACCTCATTTTAATAAAACAAGGGGATATTCTTGTTCTCATCTTAGAATCTTTTTTCTAATAACTTGTTGTCGAAATTTCATTTATATGTTTAATGACTGTTACAAATTATCCCAGAGTAAAGTTTCACAGTCACTTGCTAACGGCTTTACCAGATGTTTCTCAAATTACTCTTGGATCAGATGCCGAATTCGTACTTTTAGCATCTGATGGATTGTGGGATTACATTAACAGGTCTGTTTGGATTGCAATTTCGGACTCAGGCTAGAGTGGTCATTTTCTTAATTTAGATCACAATGTGTTTGGTTGATAGATTCAGCAGGAACTAACTCCCTGACCGATTTTGCCACATTTAAGCTTTGAAGCAGTTAACTTCGTGAGGAAACAACTTCGGGAACACGGAGATGTTCAGGTAAGCAATCAACTTTGCAGTTGGCACACTTATAGTCTCTTGGAACACTGTGCTTAACATCTTCCAGTTCTGTCAACAGAGAGCATGTGAAGCCCTTGCCAGGAATGCCCTGGTAATTAAGTCCACCCTGATTTTTCTAGTACCCTATATATAGAAGTATAAAACTATTGCATGCCATTTGAATGTCTATTTTCATTTTCTACAGGATCGCCGATCACAAGATAACATCAGCATAATTATTGCTGATTTGGGGTATGTACATGCTTCTTGCATGATTCTCTGCTGCCACTAAATCAGTTATTGTTTCTTAACCAAACTGAATACCCAGCAAAGACAATGTTTTTGTCAAATTCCATGTTGGCATTACTAGACACTAGTTTATGCATGTACTGTATGACTATGAGCTGTTGAAAATTGCGTCTCATTTTCGCATTGCCAAATTTCATATTGTGAGGAAAATTGTTAGTTTGAAACCCATTATGATTGGTCAATTCGGAGCTCCTACCACAACTCTGCGAACAGCAGCACACCACACTGACCACTGACTAAGTTACTCTTTAAAATTTCTTTTCTGGTTTTTGGAATTGATCTGTTAACAGGCGCACGGATTGGCAAAGCAAGCTTGTGCAGCAGAAAAATGTTCTCATTGAGCTGGTCCAAGCTTTAGGTACGATAGGAATCGTATCAGTTGGAATATGGATGTCAACACAACTCTCCTTTTGAACTTGTAGTTTGCTTAAATTTGTATACAAAAATCAGTTCAGCTGAATGAAACAAAGATATAATCAAATGGTTGTATATTTTGCCTTCTAACGTCCTACTTCTTCATATGTGTTGATTGCTGTCTAGAATTTGACAAATGAAAGTAGAGCTTTTGTAATTCGATTGTACCTAGAGGTTTTGAGTTTATTCAGCACTCCATTCAATTCTGCGAATAGTGCTTGTGCGAGGTGCGCCTCTAGGTTGTGGGATTCTTTCTCTTCAACTTATTTTTATTAGAATTAGACTAGATCAGAAAGATTTATATCATATCAGACAAGATCAAGATCAGATCAAAAGCATATACTCCCTCTGTTCCATAAAAACTTTCCCACATTGAATTGTATGCTTACTATTTACAAGGTCAAATTTCATTCACTTTTTTTTTCTATTATCGTTAGTCATTTGATAAAATAAAATAATCATGTCACTACTAGTTTTGTAGATCTTTTGATCTAGTATTTTAATATTTAATATTTATTTTTCATTTTACATTATTTTTGTCACACTCCAACCCGCATGACCCGAGTGTAAAGAGCAGCAAATCAGGTTGCTACTAAATTGGTATCCAAACACAACTCATTTTCAAAACAATTCCAGATAAATATTTCAAAACCAACTCGAGAAATCCTCTTTGGGTGGGTGAGATCCCTGTCCCCTTCGGAACAACAGTTCATAGATCTCTGTGCGCACATTTTTACTCGGATAGCCATTGCACCCAGCAGGTACCACATGGCTCTAATCTACTTTACTTATGGCATACCTTTCCACTAATCTATTCAGTCATTCCCTAGAGTTCCTCTAGATGCTATGTTCAATATCCATTAACAATTCATAATACAACATTCGTAAGTCCATCATGCATTTAACAAGATATTCAACACGATCAAATAGCGACCTAACACTAAGTGTAACCACCCATGTTTACTGTCATGCAACACACAAAATCTCGGAATCAATCCTCGACGGAAAATAAATGCTTTCGGACGAACTCTGGTGTCGGACGGTACCTGCTCCGGTACCTTAGTACCGTCCAGACAGTAGGGGCTACCGTCCGACACTAAGTCTGTCTCCTACGGTAGGAGGCTAACAGTAGTCGGGTACCGTCCCTGGCGGTAGGGCCTACCGTCCACTCGGTACCTAGGTACCGGACGGGTGCAGGTACCGAAAGTGAAAAATAGCCTATGACAGTAGCATGATACCGCCTCGCAGTACCTAGCTACTGTCAATCGCGAATTACCCGTTTTAGCAGCAACTCATTTCCAAACGTTCATAGACAACCAATTTTCATAAAGTTCAGTACAAAAACGCATGAAACAGTCCCAATTTCTATTCTAAACTATCATGATACGTTCCCTAACAATATAAGCCTTAAGTCAATGCTAATTCACAAACTAACGCAAGTATCCTGTTCGCTTCTTCGGCTCTGCTCTTCGATCGGCAAAGAAGATACGGGAGAGAGGGGGTTTACGTTAGAGGGTTATGTGATTTTGGGGTGTTCAGGGTACTATGTGTGTGTGCGCACACACACATATATATACATATACATACATACATACATACATACATACATACATACATACATACATACATACATACATACATACATACATACATACATACATATATATATATATGATTGACTCCAGTCAGATGACACCTTACGGTGAGATGACATGCTACAGTTAGATGACGCAAAGCTCACCACTGGCCACTGCAAAAGGACAACTACAAAGCTCACTAAACTGTAAGGCAAAGCGCACCATATTTTTTCAACAATTTGAATTTTTTTGAAAAAAAATCAAAGGAAGGGGTGCTGACTAGACTTTGACAATTGACCGTTGACCATCACCGGCGATCCCCTGCCGCCGCCGGCCGCTGACCGTCTCTGACCATCGCCGTCGGCCGCCGACCACTGCCGCTGGCCGCCGTCGCCGACCTCCGCCGCCAGTCTCCGCCACGCCGCCGCCGCTGACCGGTGTTGCTATTTTATTTTTAATTAATTTTTTAATTTCCAAATTAAAAAAATGTGAGTTTTGGTGTTCAAAGTGGTGAGCTTTGCTTTATTTCCAGGTGAGCTTTACATTGGCCATGGGTGAGCTTTGCAGTGTAATGTGGTGAGCTTTGCGTCATTTCACCGAAGCATGTCATCTCACTGCAGTCAATCCCTATAAATAAATAAATAGATATATATATATATATATATATACATACATACATACATACATACATACATACATACATACATACATACAGATACATACATACATACATACATACACATACATACATACATACATATACATACATACATACATACATACATACATATATATATATATATACACACACATATATATGTATATATGTATATATGTATGTATGGGATTGACTCGAGTGAGATGACACCTTACAGTGAGATGACATGCTACGGTCAGATGACGTAGAGCTCACCATTGTCCACTGTAAAGCTCACCAAGGACAACTACAAAGCTCACCAAACTGTAAGGCAAAGCTCACCATATTTTTTCAACACTTTGAATTTTTTTTGAAAAAATAAAATCAAAGAAATGGGTGTTGACTAGACTTTGACCATTGACCGAGACCTTTGACCGCCCCCTGCCGCCGGTCGCCGGAATCCACCACCGATTTCCGGCAACCACCGCTGCTCCACCGCCTGCTGCCGCCGTTGACTGGTATCGCTATTTTATTTTTTATTAATTTTTAATTTTCAAAATTTAAAAAAAAGATGATTTTTGGTGTTCAAAGTGGTGAGATTTACTCTATTTCTAGGTGACCTTTGCATTGTCCATTGGTGACCTTTGTAATGTAGTGTGGTGACCTTGCATCATCTCACCGAAGCATGCCATCTCACTGAAGTCAATCCCTATATATATGTATGTATGTATGTATGTATGTATGTATGTATGTATGTATGTATGTATGTATGTATGTATGTATGTATGTATGTATGTATGTATGTATGTATGTATATATATATATATATATATATATTCTAACGCCCCGAATTTAGGCCTAAAAGAATTAATTAATTTAAATATTAATTAATGACTAAGACAGACTCGAACACTGAAAAACAAAAGTTTTTAGAAAAATATTTTAATTATATCAAAATTTTGTTTTAACAGTCTGATTCCAAATATGCGATCCGTTTTTAATTTAGAACAGTTTGGGTGAAAAAGCGCGTACCGTTTTAGGCAATTACGGAGTAGGAGAATATTTTAATTCTCGAAAAGTCTCCATATTCCCAATTATATCAATTAGCCACCCTAAACCCACTAATTCTTCCACTAACCTAATACCTCCAAAATTGGAGTGTATTAAATCTTAATTTCTTCTCTATTTTGTCAAACAACACAATCACTCTCTCTTCACTCTCTCTCTGTCGGCTGGCTCTGCAAGGAAAGAATAGGGAGACTCCATCTCCATTTTTATGCCAAAGGAGGAAGAAGGAGCAAGAAGAAGTACCAAAGTTTCCCAAAATTCTGAGCTAAAAACACAACAACAACTTCATCATCAATTCTGTAATTTTCTATCCATTTTCTCAAAATGCTTATTATACCAATATTGTAGCCCCGGACGTTATGAATCCAACCCAACAAACGGTTTGTAATTTCGTTAAGTATCGAAGAAGATATGGCCAAAATACCGGGACTGCGCCAGTGGTGGCGAGCTCCTCGCGTTGGCTATGTTTCTTCATCATTTTCATATCGTTTCTTTCCAAATGCTTACCGTCAACTCTCTCGTGGTTATAAGGAACTTCCGAAGGTTATTTCCAAGAAGATTGGGCATAGGAAGCTCGAAGTTGATAGGGGTGACCGTACGTTGAACGTTCGTTGAGGCGTATTATTATCTTTCTCCGACCTCTACGATATCAAGGCGAGTACATTGCACCCTAGTAACGCAATCCTTTGTTGAATATCAATTTAGATATATCTTTAGGATTGATTGTCATATTATAAGTCATCTATGTTTTAAGACCAAACTCATCAAAGTCATAAGGTTAAAATATGTTTTTCTTGATACTCTTCTAAACATGAGTATATAAGTGTTAGGAGTACTTCAAATACATAGATATGTTAATAATAGATGTTAAAATGACTCAAAGAAGTATTTTAGACACCCAAAAATATCAAAAATAAGATTCGCAAACCCGAACGGTCGACGTAAACGGTCAACCGTCGCGTTAAAAATCGAAACGGAGCACGACTGTCAGCCAAACGGTCGACCGCCGGTGGCCAACGGTCGACCGTCGCCTGTCCAACCGAGAGCCGCCGTTCCCAGCAAGTCAACAACGGTCTGTTAGACAAATGTGCAAC